TCTCTGCCGAGAAGTCTGCAGCCAGGGTCAGGACAGTTCCCTTATCTCTTAAGTCTTCCTTTTTCACAACATCCTCTTTTATTCTTTGAGTCCTCAAGATTTCTTTTGTCAGTCATTTCTTTTGCTGGCTTGGTTGTCTATGCCTTCTTCTTCTTTTCTTTTTTAATTTAAAGAGGAAAAAAACCCAAAAAGGGTAGAAATAATACAGAATTTCAGAAAAATAAATAGTAAGAAATCACTAGTTGATAAGTTACATATTGTCATCTTAGAAATAGTTGTTCAAGTTACAAAATTAAAGCATGCAAAGTGATATTCAAATAATGACACTGCAAACAGTTCTGCTCAGTGATCCCAACAAAAACTTAGTAATATGGTTATCAGTCCTACACACTTGTTTTTTTATCTTAAAGAGGGTAAGATTAAACATGCCAAAACAGAATAAAACAGTTCATAAGAAAACACAGATTTCTAAGCAAGTCCACTGGAGATCTTCACTTTCTATCTTATTGTCTCTAGTTTTTTTCCAAATAGTTGTCCCCGTCTTCACACTCATTGAATATATACTGAACATTATAGAACTAATCAAATCATTATAGGTTGATGAAGACTTTTTAGGTCTTCAAGATCTGATTTCGGGGAAGTCAATAATGACTACCATAATGTCTCTCATTCTCTGCGAAGTAGCTGTCTTTATCTTTGCCTATGCTGAAATTGAACATAAGGGACTGGACTAATATCACTCTGAACAGTGAATTATAGTATTGCTAGATTTTATATCATAATGCTACAGAATTAGCATTGTGTTTCTTAGTGTCTCTTCTTCAGCGTATCTGTTCATTACATCGTATATTATATAATCTGTTCCCATAAATAGTTTAGAAATTCTTCCTATGTGTGAATCTCTACATGTATATCTATCCTTTCTGTATTTTAGGGAAAACAGATCAAAACAAGACAACAAATTTTATGCCTTCTATCCTTTCTTTTCAGAAAACTTCTACCTGGGTGTTGCAGTTTCTCCATCTGCCATTACTGCATGAAGCTCCTCCCATATTTTGGGGGGAGGGGTACTGGGGATCCAACTCAGGGCCTTGCATTCTATACTTTTTTTTGACCTTGTAATTTTGGGGTAGTTTCTTACCTTGGCCCACATTGTGAGTTTTAGCTTTGTCTTAATTTTCTGCTCAGCTCAACTAGTTTTCTTTTAAAGGTCAAGCTTTCAGGATCCTTACCTATTTTGGAATCTTTCTTCTCCACCAGTTTAGTGAGGCTAAATCTTTTACTTTTTGCTTTTCATTTCTGCTGCTGCAGTTCGTTCGATTTTTTTCAGTTCAAGTGTTGTGATTTTTGTCTCTAAATTTTTCCTTATGTTATTTGTGAGGGTCCACACCATTTCTTCAACCATGAGGTCCTGTCTGTCCTTCAAGAACACAAAGTCTTTCTTGTCATCTGCTGGTGAGTGTACTCAGATTCCTAGTACTGGCGCTGTCAACCTGTCAATCTCTGTAGATGCCTTTGTTTCTTTTTAGGGGACTTTTTTCTGTCCCTTTGCTAGATGTCTCACTAGCTTGAATTGGACTGTGGGCATTGTGGCTCTGTTGTTACAATTACTTTTCTGTTGTTACAATTAATGATGGTAAAGTAAATTTGTTTTTGCATATTGGTTAAACTTCAGAAATTCAAAGGTTTAAAAATGTTGTCTGTCTGCTATACCCAGTGCTGGGAATGCTCTGTATCAGGCCCTAAATGGGGAGAAAGGGGCCTGTGTTTTCTAAAATTCCTTGCCCATTTTTCCTATCTTTTTTGTTAAACGAATTTTGTCAGTAATTTACATACAGTAGCAATACAGTTTTAAGTGTATACAATTCTAAGTTTTGGCAACTTTGTATCCTTTTCCCTCAAGATTTCCATTGTATGGGATAATAATTTTTTTTTTCCACTCCTGAACTACCAACTTTGGTTTAACTTTTTAACACCTTAGACCATTATTAATGGGATTATTACCATTAAGGAAATGATAAGTAATTCTTAATCCCCAAAACTTATTTCAGTCACTTTTTTACCCTTAGTGTTGCAAGAATCAGTTATACTTTATTTTTTTAATCTGTTTTCTTTAGCCTTTTATGACCTAATTCTTATTATTTTCACATATATTAGACTATTTTTTACATTTTTCAATTTTGTCTATTGCTCTTTACAGTTCCTTCTTTGCTCCCACTATAATATATTCTTGTTCTTTTGTCTTCTCTCTGTTTCTTCCATTTGTATATTTTGTTTTTATTGAGTTTCTAAAGATTCTTTGTCTTTTTTTCACTGAAGAAGAGAGCTTACAAATGCAGAAAATTGAAATATTTCTGGGGCTTCATTAATTTGTTTTTAAACAAATGTTACTTTATTTAACCTAGCTATGAGTTTTTAAATTACTTTTTGTCTCCATTTGAGTATTAATTGAATTCTCACAGTTAAATTACATATATATTTATATTTTGTTTTTACTAGAATTTTGTGTTTGTCAATATGTCTATTTCCTAGACTAGTGCTTGTTACATAGTTGGGAATTAATAATGCACTGTTGTTATTTAATTAATTGATGTCCTACTGTTACCTCAAAATTAACATGTTCAAATTTTAGCCAATTTGAAACTTTCCTTTGCTTCTAAAGTCCAGATCAATGCCCTTTCTCTTTAGAAGCTTTCCTTACTTCCCAGTCAAAAATCTGTTTCTCTAATCTTTTTCTAAGCCAAGACTTTGTGTTCTTGAAGGACAGTCTGTTTCTCTAGCCTTTTGTAAATTATTATGTTAATTACTATGGAGTACAAGACTTCATTTGAGAATAAACCTAATTAGATACATCACTACTCAACAAAGAATTTTATGGATGGTTCTGAACCAAGGGCCTTATATGTACTATGCATGAAAAGTTCTTCCATCAAGCTACATTGCCAGCCCAGGAAAGAATTTTGAGAAAGTATATTCAACAAAAGCATCACTTATGATGTTAGTATTTACTCAGATCCCCTCCCCTGAAATACAGAAGGGCATTACCAACAGAGCATATTTTTATACCATAAGAAACAGAATAAATTATTCTTTTGAGGGACAAAAAGCAAGGCCTATTTTGGCTGAGGAGGATATAATCTTATTTCATTTACATACGCAAAAACAGACTCGAAGTTCAGTTAATATAGTGAGGTCATCAAATTAAATGAGATCCTTGATGACAAACCTTTTAGCGCTTTCAGTGGTAACAAACAGCCCACTGCAACATGTAAGCCATAGGTCTGCCACTACTGGCCTAGTTTCTGTTTGGCATTCCCTAATGAAAGTGTGAGCCAAAGCCTTTCCAAACTTTGGTAATTTTATTTCTTTTTCAGCATCGTTGTATTAGTCACTTCTGCATTGCTGGGATAAAATGCCTGGCCCCTGCACCTTAAAGGAGGAGAGGGTTATTTTTGCTCATGGTTACAGAGGATTTAGTCCATGTTCAGCTAACTCCAAGGTAGAAGTGTTATGCAGAAGGGCCTGGTGGAGGACAGCTGGTCCTGTGGCATCCAGGAAGCAGAAAGAAAATAAAGAGTAAGAAAAACCCTGCCCTACAGGGTATTCCTTCAGTGGCCCACCTACTCTTATCAGGCCTCACCTCCAAATCTTCCTGGACAAGGTCTAGATGCTTCTAGTGAATCTTTGGCTTTTAAAACCAGTTAGTATTTGCTTAATGCCAAGGTTTTATGAGCCATCAGTGTTGGTATCTACTTCATTAATCTGTTGATTGATTTGAGTTTTGTCGATGGAACATTATAGCTCTCAAAATTTATTAATAAGCATCTTACATTCTGCTTTATGTCTGTTCACTAGTATACCACTGTAAACTTGACCCACCTCTGCCAAATGTTAATGTGTCAAAAAATAAACAAACTTCTTTTGGCAGTTGATTTCTAGCAGCTGATAAAACATTAAAGTATTAAGTGTTTTTGTTTTCTTCTTGTGTTTTCACATTTAAGTGGATGGGAAAGGAGAAGGAAGTAGAAATTGGTATAGTACAAAGGCAGAGTTGGGAAAGGGTGTGTGTGTGTATGTGTTTTCAGAGACATTCAAACTCAAGTGAGTTGTCCATAATCCAGGTTTTGACAACCTGCCTCTTAGTAGCCTTCAAAAACATTCATGGTATGCCATACCTGTCCTATATTCTTACCAGTTGATGACTTACTGGCTTAGAGACAAGTTTTAAGAATTTTTATATAAGGGAACTTTTCCTGTAATACTGCTTCTTTTTGTCACCTGATATACTTATGGTATTAGGTTTATCAAATAACTTTTGCCTCTCCGTTCTTTGGTTTCTCAGGATTTTTTTCTCATTAAGATTCATGATTGTAACTGAAAAAAATGAATTTCATTCTTGTTTTGTATTTCAATGGAGATTTTGATTTATTACCTTTTTTTTTTTTTTGAGACAGGATCTCGCTATGCAGTTCAGGCTGGCCTTGAGCTCACTTTGTAGCCCAGGCTGGTCTCGAACTCACAGTGATCCCCCCACCTCAGCCTCCAAGTGCTGGGATTACAAGTGTGAGCCACCACGCCTGGCTATTACTTTTATATCTTGTTTCTCTCAGTCTGATGAAGGAAATAATATTAAAAAGGTTAGTTTAAGGTACTGATTTTACTTGTTGCAGCATCCTTAAACATTGTTTAGTGAGTGTTTTGCCTGAATGAGGATTGTGAGTTAAGCTTTTTGTGACTCAAGGTTTGGTGGTAGTATATGCCAAATGCATGTTTTAAAATTTTCTAAGACATTGCTTTATTATCAAGAAATAACCATTTAATAAAGAATATTTTACATCATTAAGGAAACAGTATTTCATATTTAGTATTTTGTTTAAATAAATATTTAGTGTAACATTTATGTAAATATTTTGAAGTATGCTTATTTCTTTTTATAATATTATCCATCCCCCTTGGACAGTTAGCTGTTTCTTTAAATGATTCTTGTTTCTTGTTTGCAGGCAGCTATCAATGGTGTAATACCCCAAGAAAATGGCATTCTACAAAGGTATGTTATTATTGCTTACTAATAAGATAACAATTTGGCAGAGGACGAAAAAGAGAAAGTTGTTAAGTTTTCTATTTTACTTTTTAGTGGAGCATTTGAATTTTGTTGTGGAAGTTCATTAATATAGTCATTGTTCTTTGATTTTTTTTGTTAATTATCTTAATTCCCCAAAGTCTCAAACTTTTGAGTTCACAATATTTTTTCAAATTCAGTAATACTGTCTTTTGCTTTGTAAGGGCTGTGAATATAACTCAGCAGCACAGCAGCTGCTTGGCAAGTGTTGAGATTGTTAGTTTGATTCCTAGTAACAATAATAAAAAAATAAAAAGAGCTTTTCAAGATCATCTTCTAATTCATAGAATGAAGGAAACTGAATTGTTTTGAGCCATTGATTGGAACTACGGAAATGAGACTTGCTCAGTAGCCTGTACAGAGTATGACTGTCATCTATTCAGGCTTTATCTCCAAGCTTAACTTAATCTTTTCCCCCCTCATTTTGGTTTCTAAATCATCTGATAACATGCAGTAGTTAAATAAGCCCTTAATTATGAAACTTCCCAGAGCACTGAGCAATTTTGTCTGAAATGTCCAGTGTTAACATATGGACTGGCTTTAGTGGGTTTGTGTCTTTGCCAGAAGATAAAATTTGGGAGACAAGACCAAGGAGACTGTAACAGACTGTAAAACATAAAAGTATATTAATAGTTTTTCTTAAAATTGTAGATTCTGATTCTGGATTAAAAGAACACAGTATAAAGTCACAGGAGGTGAAAACATTCTCCTTTCCAAGTTGTAGTTTACTTACTTGACACCCTCCACCCCCAGCTCAAACTTTGGCTTGAGTTTCAGTGGCTGGGATTTCTAAGTTACTGAAGCATGATCTGCTTAAGTGCAGATGAGGCAAGCAGAAACAGCAGAGTAGGAACAAACGTTGTTTTGGAGAGGAAGAAAAGTGCCATTGCAACAACGTTAAAAAATTCATGCCGAACTATAAAATATATTATACTTTATAGGAAACTGCATATTTAGGATGGAAGTAAAATTCTGTTTGGTACTTGACCATGCTTATTGATTATTTTTAAGGTGAAGTGTATTATACTCCTCTCTCTCTTTAAAAATTCTTTTAAAGAGTTTCATTCAGGGTAAATATAGCTGATTTCCAAAGTCTGCAACTAGCTCTTTTTGTTTGTTCCAAAGCACTCAGTTATATTGAAGCTCTTATCAAGAAAGCAAACCAGACAGTTAATTACAGGTACTTTTTCATGCTTATTTTAAAATTTCTTACTTTAGAAAGTTGCAAAGTGCTAAATGTGTCTGCAGTTTCATTGTTGAGTGTTATCACTACTACTTTTGTACCGAATTTTTGCTGTGCTAAACTCTTGTGAATTTGGCTGTGAGATCATGAGTAAACACTAGATACTTCTCACAAGGATAGCATTTGCTTTGAGTGAACTGTAGAAGTTTCCTTTTGCCTTGAAACATTCTTCTTCCATTACAGATGATGCTTTTTGCTTAATAAATTTTATGACTAAAAGCTCAGTAAAAATTATTTTCTGATACTGTGGTTACTAATAATGTTTTGGATTTAAATTTGACCACAGTGGTTTTTCATTGGTTTTGTTTTCTTCTTTTAAATAAAAGGAATGAGTCATGCCTGTGTAGCAAAGTCAGTTATATCTAGTAAGTTTCAACTATTTCCTTGTATTCATTATCTTCAAAATCATTGTGAATTTGACATAATTGAAAGTTCTTCTTTTGTGTCCATTGGCTAGAGGAAAAGAAAAGAGATGCTTGTATAATCATTAATACTGAAAGTTGAAGATACAATGCTAGGAATGCTATATGCATGCACTTATAAAGATCATTGTTTTGTTTGTCTAGTTTTTATTATAATGTTGAATATAGTCTGCATGTATCTAATGGTATCTAATTTGTTGGTCCATACCTTAACAGAGAAGAGAGATATCAAATACTATAAAGAAAATACTGTATTGTGTAATAGTCTCATAGGATATCAAAGTTTTTGATAGGCAGTAATTAAATACAGCACTGATAGATGTGTTAATACTTCTTTTGGCCACGGATTATAAAACTTGTACTAGTTATGTACAGTCTAAAAAAGGTCAGTTATTGAAACACAAATTTTTGTGGAGAGGGAGGAAGAAATATCTCTGTGCTTTATAACTTTTCTTAAAATCAGATTTTATGTGAATCCTAAAGTAGGACTGATTTTTGATGAACTCATAAAGTCCAAGGACAGAAACTAACTTTTTTTTAATGCTTAAGGTACTATGCTAAATAACTGACATTTTCCCTCATTTAATACTAAATACAACTCTTAAATGATAAATGTGCATATTTCACAGATGAGAAAAATCAGAATTTACATAGATTTGCCCACTATCCCAACAGTAGAAGGTTGTAAAGTCTTGATTTTTTCCTTTGGAAAGTATGGTATGTCTTTTGTAAAAATGTTGTTGAATCAAACTATGTCTCTCATATTATGTATCTTTATCCAACAGTTTTGTTTTTAGTTGTAAGCTGGTAAAGGTAGACATTATTATCTCTAGTTTTACAGGTGGAGATAATGACTATATGGTACAGTCTAATGATGATGTATTCAGGAATATATAGGTATGTCTTTTGGCTCTTGCTAGGCTTAGTTCATTTTATAATATATAGTTAATATATTGTATGTGTGATATGTGTAGTTTATGCATTCATAATTATAAACCATTTCACGAGTAAACATCAGGTATGTGCATGTGTATTTACTACTCCTAATGTCTTATTCAGCATATTGTACAGAGGCTCATATCAAACTATTTTGGAGGACAGTTATTTTTCAGAAAGGAAGTACTTTCTCTCTCTCTCTCTCTCTTTTTTTTTTTTTTGTACTAAGGATTGAACTTGCAACCTCGCACTTACCAAGCAAGTGCTTTTGCCACTGAGCTAAATCCCTGGCCCAGTACTATTTTTTAAAAAAATAAACTTTATAGTCAGGTGAAGTGGCACATGCTTGTAATCCTAGCACTCAGAAGGCTGAGGCAGGAGGATCATTGCAAGTTCAAGCTCAGCCTGGGCTACAAAGTGAGCTCAAGGAAAGTGTGAACTGCATAGTAGACCCTGTCTCAAAAAGCCAAAAACAAAAAACAAAATAAACAAAACAAAAAAACATTATAAATTAATAATATAATTCGAGCTATTTACAGTTAGTAATGATCAACTCGTTTAAAGCCCATAAACATGAACAGTATGTTCCTCATCCATTGTTTAATAATTGAGAACATCCAGAAAAGATGAGATTTGACCTTGATCAATGTTCAGGTTTTCTGGTTTAGAAAAATACCTATTAAAAAAGTCTGAATTGACCACAAGTTTACTTCTAAAATAAATGTGGATTTTTGCCACGAACAGACTTTTAAAAAAATTCAGAGTTCCTGATTTCTTTGATTTTTGTTAATTGCCTTCCACGGGCCTGAGTGGTTTGTAGAAGACAGCTGAGTAAGGATAAAAATACTTCCATTAGTTGAAGTTTACATCTAAATAGATTTCTTCATAGAGTCTTCCACACTGTTGTTTTCCTATTTAATGAATAATTTCTTTTCTTCCCCCTCAGTGGGCAGTTTATAGGAACAGTCACCTGAGAAACAAATCTATTCATATTGTATCCATTTTAAAAGATTCATTTCATTATCTCTTCCCTAGACTTGATTTCACCCAATTTTCGGTTTTTAAGTTAATTATTTGCTTCAAGTCATTAACTTTTGCCCATGATCTGATGAAGATTTACACCTCAGTCTGTCTCTCCTAAATGAAATAGTCACCTTGTGGTGCAGCATTAACTTTTCTCTACCAGGAGGCTTTTGTTTCACTACTATTTTTAAGGCATATCTTTGATTGAGGCTATAGTGCTTTAGCAGTCTAATTTTGATTGGTATGAATGTATTTTACATATCTAATTTTTCTCTATCCATTGTAAATTTTTTCTTTCTTTGTTGACTTAGCTGTTTGTTCATTATTGATGGGAAATGCAAAGCAACAGACTTTTTGCCTGGCTTGTTTTTGATCACTGGATCCCCCCAAACTTTATCAAGGTCTAAAAGTCCCTGTATTTTTATGATACGTATATATGCTAATCTCTATCATGCATTTGTCATATTAAAGCATGCAAATACTTACTACTTCTGTTCTTTAGTTTCAGTCCTCATTATCAAGGTCATGTTGTTTGGAACATCTGGGTGATCAAAATCTCTTCAGACAAGGTTTTTGTGAGACTAAGCAGAACTGGCATAAACTCTAGGAAAAGACAGTGAAAGTATGCTATATACTCTGGTGAAAGCAAAATGCTTATCACAGTACTTGCACATTAGTACAGAGAATAAAAAGTTGTGCAAATTCATTTGCAAGTAACCCTAACTCCATGGGCTGGGGAACCAGTACAGTATATACGATCTCTACCAGCCACTGAGTGTCTTTTTCTGTTTCATATTCAGAGCTTGAGGAGTAATGGCAGGGGATGCTGATTGTTTGAACCTGCAGTGAATAAAAGGGCAAAAGCTTTATTTTATGTTGTAATCTTACACTTTTGTAAAATCCAAAAGCATTAGAATAATTTCAGGTTTAGAATGTAGGACCTCCCTAAAAACCTTACACTTCCTTTTTATCAGTATGTTGGGTAGCACAGGTCGAGGTCTTGTAGGGAATTTCTTAGAAAAATTACAATATAAATGTATGATACATACAATATATATGTATCCTTTGTTGTAATTGGATTACTTATTTAATCCAGGGCTTTTATGTCTGTGAAACAACATGTGTGGGAAAACACTGGGAGTAAATGTGAATCTCTATTGTGATTGCTGAAGTTAAGATTTAGACTGACAGGTCTGTGTTCTATTTTAATATTTGTAATATTTTAATATTTATAATATTTTAATGGGCTAACCTTTAATTTTGTTCTTTAGAAGTACCATATTCAGTGAAACACTTCTAAAGATGTCTGCAAGTCAGAATCTTCTGATTGCTGCTTTTGTCCTTTAATATAATTGCTTGAATCCTTTTCTTACTATATTTTGCCATTTGACCTCTCCCATTTTGAGATCTCCTCATTCTTATTAGGAAGTCTTAGTGGTATCATTTCCTAGAAAAGCTACTATTAGAGCTTTTCAAGACTATAGATTCCTTTACTAATGTGTTTATTAATGCTTTAATGTAGCGTCCTCCAAGACCTCATAGGAGGGTGTGTGCATGTGTAACTCATAGCAGATCCATTCCAGCATTTATGTTTCTTTAAATATTTGAATTTGTTCAGAATTATGCTAAGTAAGTTCAGATATCTCATCCTTAATAAGTGCAAACTCTTTTGGGACTTAAGTTTTATTTAGCTAACTATTAAAGTTACTTAGAACTGCTTAAGCTAACATTATATTTTGTCCTATCAAAACTCTTTTGGTCAAACATGCTTGAAGTTTATTTCTGCAACTATTTGTAAGAATTTGCCTGGAGTAATTTATCAAGATGTTATAATTATTTTTAGATTTAAATAACCTCTTCTTGGTTAAGGCTCTATACTTTTTCTTTTAGTATATGGCTAGATCGGATTTTAGAGGCGATAGGAATGGAGTGGGTAGGTCCGAGTATAAGCATCCTCTTTCAAGGAAGCTATCCTAAATAAGAGTGTTACAATTTTCAAACAAGCCAGGCATTAGCTTTTTTCAGTAACAGGAGTTGTTTCTCTTTATAAAAGTCTCATAGAGATTGTAGGGGTTCAGAATTCTAACTTTCATCTGAGTCCAGCCAGGGCATTTTACCTCTTAAATTCTCACTCCTTCTAAAATAGTACCTTAACTTTCACAAAAGAGACATTATTGTTTAATCAATTTCCTCATATAATTCTTCAGTCTGCAATATTAACCTTATTGTGGTGGCCATATACATTGCTAGAAGAAACGAGAAACTCATTCTTTTTGTTTTTGATTTTTTTTCCCGGAAGGGCCATATCTGAAACTTTGCAGCTGAAGTATCTTGGCTTTATAGGTGATTTGCTTTTGTAAGCTCCCCATTTGCATCTGAAGAGTCATCCTTTAGTCCTTGTTGTCATTTGTACCATTATAATAATTAAGTTAGTCCGTCATTTGGTCATCTCAGGCCCTTGTTTCCATAGGTACATCATCATAATTAACCATACATGATAATTTAGTTAATACTTATGGTAAGGCATGGCATGAATCACCAGTATGCTATTTTCTG